GGGGGTCCAGAGAGGAGTTCGGAAGTACGGAGGGTGGATAGGGTGAGGGAAAGGGGTAAGGGGGCACAGTCGGCACAGCCAGGAGCGAGGGAGTGAGTGAACTGTCAGCCCGGCACTTTGTTCACTCAGCAGAGCACATCGCAAACACTTTGACCGCAGCTTTATTATTCCTATTTTCTTTCGTTATTTTTTTTTCGTCACTCCCGCGACAACGAAAACCGCGGCAGCTGCGCGGTGAAGGACAATAGGCACAGCAGGGAGGGCGAAAAAAGGGGGAGAAGGGAGGGGGGGATTTGCCCAACTTGCTCGTTAAGCGCCGCGACGGCAGGCAGGGCAGCGCCTTGTTCAATATCAGAATCACGAGGGCTCTGGTTATCAAAACGAAACGCTCCGGCGCGGCGAGACACCAAATTGCGAGAATCTCAACTCAAGGCCGCTTATTTGCGCTTCTTGCGTATTTCAGGGAGAGAGAGGGGGGGAGAGTAGAAAAGGAGAGGTAATCTATCGGGGCAGGCAATTCAGCCCCCCCCCCCCCCACTTTGCTACAAAGTCGTGTGCGGTAACGCAGAGATTGGGCCTGAATTTGCGTAACGAAAAACAAAATGAAAGGTGTAGCGTGGGGCGCAACGTAGCGTAGCAAGGGAATCGTTCAGTTCAGAAGGCTTCTTCGTCACATTTTTACTAATCATCGACTGTCTCAGTTTCTTGCGTTGTAGTTGTTTTGGATGGCATTTCATTGACATCACTGGAAAAACAAGTGGCACGAGTGTCACAAGTTATCATGCCCTCTCAGAAGAGAACGTTTCTTGATGCACTGGAAACAAAGGTGCTATGTATGTGTTACCTTTCCAGGGGTTTCTTAAGTGTGTATTTTCAGTTTTTCCGAAATATTTTATGAATGTCAATGACATTTTGGGTGTACATTATCACATTCCTTGCAAAATTCTGCGTCGAACGAGCCTGCATGTGATAGGGTTCTGATGAGCAGTCAGCAAATGAAAAACAAGTCAAAATGTACAGAAAATTAAATCAGTTCATGCCTGTTTTGAACAGAACACCTTCACACATAAACTGGAATGCCTTTGTAGCTTTAGTGCCTTTCAAAGGTAGGATATCTTGCCTTTTGTTTTTCCAGTGTGCCTTCTCCTCTATGTAAAAACATAGGGGCATCACAGGAAGAGTGCATCAGGAAACGTTTTCTCTGGAGTCTGGAGAGTGCATTAAGAAACGTGACACATGCCACGTTAGTTTTTCAAGTGATGTGAACTGCTTCTTCCCCTTTAGTAAAGGGATCATCCAGAAAGTGCGTGCACCATTTGACGTTACGAACCTGTCAAGTTCGGCCTATGCAAGCTCTCACAGCGCCTGGTCTGTAGGCCGCATTATGACTGTAGTGCAAGCGTGTACTGCGGGTTGGCCTACCATGAGTCAGAGAAGAGAGAAGAGAGACGTAAAGCATGAGAAACAAAAGAGGCTAAAGACCTGCGAAGCGGCAGGACGATGAGGGAGAAGAAGGGACGAGAGGGACAGCTAACTAGATCAGCAGGCGTTGGGACCGCTGGGGCAGAACTAACAACCTACTACCGGCCGAGGAAGCAAAGCAGGGAGGAAGAGGGGTGAGGGAGCAGTGATAGCATTATTGTGACACAGAAATGTCCATCTGGGAGACTGATGCTTTGCCCACATAATGCTGAATGCCCCTGGTGGAGAGATCATCTGCACAGCAACGCTAATATATTGGACCACATGTGGCTGCAGCCAGAAAGAGTTGGAGGAGTAGCCGAGGGAGCAGCGGTGGGTGGCGTGGTGCGTGGTGTGGCGTGGCCGGCGGGTGCCCAGCTGTCCACCTCAGGGAAGGCCCCGGTCGTCGCGTCGTCGCGTCCGGCCGGCTCAGCCCGCATGTGCCAGTACGGCCAGCACGCCCCAGTCGCAGCCGACCAGGTCTTTCGTTCGGAAGATAATAGGAAACCTTCTGGGAAGAGAGAGAGGGAGGAGGAAGAAGACCTTACCCATTAATTAAGGAGGAATTCTTTTTTCTTTTACAAAAGGAAAAGATGTACTTTAGAAGCGTTACCCTGAACTTGCTGGAT